CGTACGCAAGACGCAGCTGACCACGCTGCTGTAGCTCACGAGCAAGGAAGTAGCGGAGAGCAATGTGCTTCGTTCTGTGCTCCAGTCTCTGCTCTCGACACAAGGCCAGCATGGCCTTGTTGTCTACGTACAGCACTGGAGGAAAACGAGGCGGCTCTCCGAGGTCAGTCAGCAGGTAGGTGAGCCAGCGAAGCTCCTGTGCAGCCATGGCCGCGGCGTAGATCTCAGCCTCACAACTGGAGCCGAGAACAGAAGACGAGCGGGTAGCCCGCCACGAAACACAGCCGGAACCAAGGCTGAAGGTGTGACCCTGTGTCGACCGCTGCGTAGCCTGGTCATCAGCCCAAGAAGTGTCTGCGTGCCCAGTGAGGACCACTGGACTCTGCCCTCCAAGCACAAGCCCCATGCCTGACGTACTGCACAAGTAGCGCAACACCCTCTTCGCTGCAGCCATGTGCTGCGGTCTGTGTCTCCCAGGCGCAACATAGCGTGCGAGAATGCTAAGAGGGTATGCAAGGTCAGGTGGAGTGCAGGTCATCAGGTACATGAGGCAGCCAACAAGCTCTGGGTACGGGCCACTCGACTCTACGGACTCATCCGAAGGCAGAGCTGAGAGCGAGTGGCGAGTAGGCAGAGGAGTGGCCTGAGGCGAGGAGTACGTGAAGCCAAGCGCTGAAGGACCTGCTGCACCATGTGTGACTGAGTCAGGGTAATGGTGCGGCGTGCTCTGTCTCGGGTGATCTGCAAGCCAAGGTAGCTGCGCAGTTCACCCAGGTCTGTGCACGTGTGTCTCTTCTGCAGCTCCGACTTCACGTGGGCGAGTCCAGCAGTGTCAGCTGTGGCAAAGACCAAGTCGTCAACGTACACGAGGATGTAGAACGGCGGAAAAGAAGTGTCGGTGCGCAGAAACAGCGACGGGTCGGCAGTAGAGGGAGCAAACCCAAGAGCCGCAAGTATAGTCCTCAGTGTGTCGTGCCACACGCGCGGTGCCTGGCGGAGACCGTAGACTGGCCGCCGGAGGCTCCACAGGGTGCCAGGAGGAAAAGACCCAGTGAAGCCAGGTGGGCGGCGCAGCCAGATCTCCTCGTGCAGGCTGCCCTGCAAGAAAGCTGTGCTGAAGTCAAGAGAGTGAGGCTCGTAGTCACGGTGAGCAGCTATGTGTAGCAGTACCCGAAGAGTGGTCATCTTTGGGGTGGGAGAGAAGGTCTGAAAGTAGTTAACTCCCTGACGCTGACTGAAGCCACGAGCCACGTAACGCGCCTTGAAGACAGGCGGAGAACGTGGCGGCCGCTTCACCCTAAAAATCCACATGCCACTGACGATGTTCGCCCCAGGCGGGGGAACCTTGTCAACGTAGGTGCCTGTGGACTTCCACGAAGCCATCTGTGCGTCCATAGCTGCCTGCCACTGAGAGGAGTAGGGACCCTCTATCGCCTCCGCGTAAGAGCGCGGAGTCGGGATGTCAAGTGCATCCGGGTCTCCCTCATGGGTAAGCAGTACGGACACGAGATGAGGTGAAGCAGTAGACAGACACTGGAACTCCTCTTGCCTGTCCTCAAGGACGTCCGTGCCAAGGGCACACTCACCCCCGACGGACGGAGGACAGACAGACCCAGACTTAGCAACAAGACTGGCGGCATAGTCTAGGCGACAGCGAGCAGCAAAGTCAACGAGCTCAGCAACTAGGGCAGACGCAGCAGTGGACTCAAAGGAAGGGTCAGTGACAACAGTAGCAAGGAGACGCGTGACAGTAGGACTGGCAGCATGAAGAGAGTCCGACTCCGGGTCGGCAAGAGGAGGAAGAGAAGACTCAGGAGGAGAAGGTAAAGGGGCACGCAGAGGAGCAGTGGACGGACGCAGAGACATTCGCTGCGTGCCAGGGAAAGGAGGAGGACGCTGACGCGAACTGCGACCACTAGTGCCAGCAGCACGGACAGGCGACGCAGGGCGAGACGCAGGCTCACGACGCTCAGCAAGACCTCTAGTAGGACCAGTGTAGGGAGACGGAGGAGGCAGTGGGGAGGCCGGCTGTAGCTGTAACTGTGACGGGACAGGCTGTGGACACTCTAAGGGAGGAGGAGGACCACTAGAAGGCGGGAGACCAAGAACCTGCTGAAGGAGCGGAACGAAGTACGGCCGAGGCCGGGCGACGACGCCAGACACAGCAGGGACAGCACCAGTACCCCCAGTGGCACCATCAGCACCAGCAGCACCTCCAGCTCCAGTACCTCCAGCAGCACCAGTAGCACCCTCAGCAGGACCGCCTCCATGACCGACAGCAGTAGCCTCCGCGCCAACACCCGCAGCAACTCCAACTCCAGAAGTACCCGCACGCCTAGCAGCTCCAGTACTCCCAGTACGAGCACCTCCGGGACCCGCGTCACCAGCACCCTCAGCAGCAGCAGAACCTCCAGTACCCGCAGCACCTCCAGCTCCAGCAGCTCGCCTCTAGCGCCGGGCAAACCACTCACGCAGGCTCCTCTGGAGAGAGTGGCTCCCGGCGAGACGAAGCACCCGAAGAACCGCTAGGCACAGCACCGCCAGACGCCACACGAGCAGGCCCAGCTCCCTCAGGCTCAGCACCTCCAGGCTCAACACCTCCAGGCGTAGCTCCCCCAGGCGTAGCACCCCCAGGCTCAGCACCCCCAGGCTCAGCACTCCCAGGCTCAGCACCCCCAGGCTCAGCACCCCCAAGCGTAGCACCCACACGCTCAGCACCCCCAGAGTCAGCACCCCCAGGCTCAGCACCCTCAGCAGCACCAGAGTCACCAGCGACCTCGACAGGCTCAACAGCGTCTACCTGGGACCAACCTGAAGGGACAGGACATTGAGGGGGGAGGGGGTCTACCGGGGGGTGACCTGGCACAAGGAAGAGTGGTGGCGGGGGGAGGGACGGAGTGCGGTAGGGGAAGAGACGGTAGTAGGGGACCGACTCGTCGAACGTGACGTCCTGGGAGGACAGAACACAGCGAGAGGTGGGGTGGTAGAACTGCCACCCTGGGGCGTCAGGGGGGAAACCCAGGAAGACGCAGGGAGCAGCACGAGGGGACAGCTTGTCCGCAGACAAGTCGCGGACAAACGCCCGAGATCCCCAGATACGGAACGCAGACGCATCGCCAACCTTCCCCGTCCACAGCAAAGCTGGGGAGGTCTCCGGCATGGAGACCCTGGGTTGAAGGTTGATCTAATGCGCCGCGTACCGTTCCTCAAACGGCCACAGAAAATGGGGGGCAGCCGCATGCATCATGGACGTACGGGCGACGTCCATGACCATGCCAATGCGGCGCTCAGCAATCCCATTTTGCTGTGGAGAGTCCGGAAGCGTGAAGGTCTGGCGGATGCCTCGTGCACGACAGTAGGCTCGCAGAAGGCCAGAAGAGAACTCTCCGCCTCTGTCCGAGTGCAGACGCAGAACAGGAAAGTCCGAGCCGAAGCTCCGCCTGAGCTGGAGACGAGCTGCGCGGATCTAGTCGATCAACACCCCAGTGACATCACCCTTGCTGCGCAAGGGGAAGACTGTGGTGTAACGCGAGTAGTCGTCAACCACCAGCAGGAAGTAGCGCTTGTGACTCTGTCCACGGACGCGGGCCGGGCCCCACACGTCCATGGGAAGCGTCTGCAGCGGTGCCTCTGTCGGAGGAAACTGAGAGGAGTGAGGGGCAGCCCGCTGCCGCCCCTCGACACAGGGGACGCAGGTAGGGCCAGGCCCCGGAGGAAGGGGAGGGAGGGACCGGGGAAGACCAGAAACAAGGACACAGGAGGCCATGCTTCGGAGACGAAGCAGGGAGGGGTGACCAAGGCGGTGGTGCCCGAGGAGAGTCTTGTAAGACAGGAGACGACACGAGCAGGGGGCAGACTCAGGACCAGACCTGGACGCTGCAGCAAACACCTGACCCGACGCAGCTACCTGACCAGACGCAGTGGTGGCGCCGGGGCCGCAGGGTAGATGACAGGGTAGGTGAGGAGGGGACGGCTCACACACCCGCCACCCCCATACCCGTCATCCCCATACCCTGAGTGTGCGGTAAGCGAGCTTAGGTGTGCGCGAAGCGTGCACAAGCGTGCGGGAAGCGAACTCGGGTGTGCAGTAAGCAAACTCAGGTGTGCGGGGAGGGGGGGCCGCAGGGCGACACGCGGGGCCACGAAGTGGCGCACGGGTCCCACGGGGTGGCGCGCCGGGATGGCGGGGTCCGCGCGCGGGTCCCTAGGGCGACGCAACGGGATCGCGGGGAGCGCGCGCGGGTCCCCAGGGGCGACGAGACGGTCGACGGGGGGGACGCGCGGTTCTCCGGGGGTGGGGCGACGGGGCCAGTAGAGGCGGCGCCGGGGCCGGTAAGGGCGGCGTCGGGGCCAGCAGAGGTGGCGCCGGGGCCGAGAAGGGCAGCGCTGGGGCCGCAGGGGTAGGCGACGGGGCCGCAGGTGGCGGGGCCGCAAGCGAGAGCGGCGGGGCCGCAGCAGAGGGCGGCGGGGCCGCAGAGAACGGCGGCGGGGCCGCAGTTGAGGGCGGCGGGGCCGCAGTTGAGGGCGGCGAGGCCGCAGTTGAGGGCGACGGGCCGCAGGAGAAGGGCGGCGACGGGCTGCTCGTGAAAGGGCGGCGCGACGCGGCCGTAAGGGCGGCGCGACGGGCCGCTAAGGGCGACGCGACGGGCCGCTAAGGGCGACGCGACGGGACGCTAAGAAGGGCGCGACCCTAGGCGCGCTTCCGGCAGGGGCAGGACGCGCCCCGGGCACAAAAAAAAAGAAAGGAGGATCGGTGGGCCCTAGGAACAGTTCCCACGAGGGAACCTGCTTGATACCATGTGAGAATGAACGAGAATGAATGCACTATGAAAGAGTTGGGTACAAGTACTAACCCTAATTGGGTTGTACCCCATATAGGCTACCCCACTACAGCCTACACAAAAGCATAAGCTATTATGCTCTGACAGGGAGGCCATGCCTCGGAGACGAGGCAGGGAGGGGTGACCAAGGCGGTGGTGCCAGAGGAGAGTCTGGTGAGACTAGAGACGACACGACCAGGGGGCAGACTCAGGACCAGACCTGGACGCTGCAGCAAACACCTGAACCGACGCAGCTACCTGACCAGACTGAGCAGCTCGAGGAGACTCAGTAGTCAGTGTGTACAGGCTCGACCCCGGCTGACGGGTAAACGTGGCCAAGTGTCGGCCCGTCCGAGCACACGTGCAGTGGGTCACTCGCTGACTCGCAGGAGTGAACTGGTCAACCCCCCCATCTTGTAGATCAGCACCACTCACCAAGTTCGAAGAGAACGAGGGGAGGTAAAGACCTGACAGGGAGCCAGAAGGGGCTGCCCGACACGGTAAGACAGTGGAGAAGTGGGCAAGGACAGGACCCCTAGAGGGGTCTGCCAGGGAGACTGCAACCGGACGACTAAGCGGCGTAAGTGTGGTGCGGTCTCAAAAGAAGGAGCGGGAAGCACCCGAGTCAAGGGTGAAGGTGTGTAAAGCCTGAGACGACGTGGTACCTGAGAGAGCAGACTCACCAGCACCTAGAGGAGCAGACGCACTAGCACCTAGAGCAGCACCCTCACCAGCACCTAGAGCAGCAGCCTCACCAGCACCTAGAGCAACAGCCTCAATGCCCGGGTCAGGCGGAACACACAGGTAACAGTCACCCTCATCACTAGTAGACTCAACATACATGGCAGCAAGAATATCATCATAATCAAGATCAAAGATAGCAACCCCTGACCTATGCAGCTCGCCCTAGTGAGGGATCTCAGTGGCGTCAGGGAACTGGAGACGCCAGGCGTCCGTCAGGCGGTCGAAGCAGCGCTGGGTGGTGTGCAGGCCACCGCACGGCTCACCAGTGTGGTCGCCGGTATGTAGTTCGTAGGCACAAGGACCAGCACCCCCACCCTGCTGACGCGCAGCGTACCACTCACGAAGCTGCTGGGGGGGCAGGGCCTCACGAGTGCGCTGATGCTGCTGGCGTTGCCCACCACCGAAGCCGCCCCACTGCACAGAGCCACCCCGACCAGCTCCACCGCCGCCGCCGCCACCGCCGCAACCGCCGCCTCCTCCGCTCCCACCGCCACCGCCGTCGCCGCCTCCGCCTCCACCGCCGCCACCGAAGCCCCCACCCCCGCCACCAATCCCACCGCCACCCCCACCCCCTCCGCCGCCTCCACCGCCACCTCCACCGCCCCCGCCAGCCCCTCCAGCGCCCTTGCCCCCCTTGCCCCTGCCGTTGCGGCGTCTCCCGCTAGGGGCAGACGCAGCGCCGACCGACCCGGTGCCAACGAGGTCGACCGCAGCAGTAGAGGCAACAGAGGGCAAAAGGGGGGAGGGGGAGCACCCCTCAAAGAAGGGGGTACGAGGGTCACCACGAGAGGCTCCTACAGCGACTATACTCTTCTCAGCTGCCAGGAGGCGCTCCTCGAGGAGGTCAACGGTGAGTGTGGTGGGGCAAACTGAGAGGAAGTGGTCCCTGACTGAGCGAAGGGAGTCAGGGAGCCGGGTGACTAGGTAGTAGAGGGTGATGTACATGGGGGGGGGAGGGTTCTTGGCGCAGAACTCATCAGGAAGCGCAGCGCGGTAGCGGGTGTCACTAGTGCGAAGGTGCGTAATGAGGTCAGCAACTGTGGGAAAGGCGGCGAGGTCAGGGAACAGGTACGGCAGCATGAGGCGACTAAGGGCAGCAGTGGTAGGGGAAGAGTAGCGTGCAACTACAGCGTCGTACAAGGTCTTAGTACTCTTGTACTGACTAAAGTGCGCGCGCTCAGTGGACGGCAGGTGACTACGCACAGCAAGATGGGCAGGAGCATCGCGTGTGGCCCACTGTGAGCGAACAGTGCTGTCAGCATCGGCAGCAGGGGCAGCAAAGGACGCCAAACGTGAGATCGAACAGTGAGAGACCATCTTTTCTATCGCACTGCAGAAAAGGCTGCAAATCATCGACCCAGAACTCAAAGTCGACAGCCCGACCTTCAGCATCAAAGGTGAGAACACTAGGGGTGGCCATGACAGCAGCAGCAGCTGGCTTGCAGTGGCAGCAGCAGGCTAGGAGCAGCTTAGAAGGAGAAGCGCGGCTCGGCAGTGCTCTTACCAGGGCGGGCGGGTAGAGGTCCGCAAGTGGTGGGGCAGGGCTGAGGCGCGCCGGCAGGGACAGGGCCGCGACAGGGCGGCAGAGGAGGGCCGCGCCTCGGCTGCAGGGCAGGGCCGGGACGGCGGCGGCGGCTGTCACGGCAGCGGCGGCAGCGGCGGCGGCGGCTGCGGCCCTGGCAGCGGCGGCGGCTGCTGTCATGGCAGCGGCGGTGGCGGCTGCTGTTGTCGGCGGCGGCGGCGGCTGTCATGGCAGCGGCGGCGGCGGCTGCTGTTGACGACGGCGGCGGCGGCGGCTGCGGCCCCGGCAGCGGCGGCGGCGGGTGTCACGGCGCGACGGCAGCTGCTGCTAGGGCGGCGACGGCGGGGCGGCAGGGCCGTGAAGGGGCCGCGAAGGGCAGCGACGGGGCCGAGAAGGGGCCGCAAGGGGCCGCGAAGGGCGGCAACGGGGCCGAGAAGGGGCCGCGAAGAGCGGCGAAGGGGCCGCAAGGGGCCGCGAAGGGGCCGCGAGGGGCCGCGAAGAGCGGCGAAGGGGCCGCGAGGGGCCGCGAAGGGCCGTGAGAGGGGCCGCGAAGGGCCGCGGAGGGGCAGCGAGGGAGCCGCGAAGGGGCCGCGAAGGGCCATGAGAGGGGCCGCGACGGGGCCTTAAGAGGGCGCGACGGGCCGCTAAGGGCAGGGGACGCGACGGGAGGGCAAGCACACGAGGCGCGACTAGGGCAGGGGCGAAGCGCGCTCCGGGCAGGTAAACAAAAATTTTCGTTTTAGTGGTGGGCCCTAGGAAACGTTCCCACTAGGGAACCTGCTCTATACCATGTGAAAGAATGAGGAATGAATGAACTAGGAAAGTGTGTGATACAAATATGAAACCCTAGAAACATGTACCCCTTAGTGTCTACCCCACTAGAGCCTACAGACACTATGTCATGTATATCTGACATTGCGCACGTTGCTAATGTACCTAACCAAATCAGTTGCAAATGAGCTCGAAACCTGATAGTCTCACCCATGTACATAGTAGAGGCTATTCGTCAATAGAAACTAAACACAAAAAATCATAACAGGACACTAAACTGCTGACAGTGACATGAATGACTATCCCTAGACATATTAGACTCGTATTGCGCACGGCCGCGTGTAACTCTATCCAAATCATCTGCGGATGACCTCAATGCCAAGTAATCTCACCTAAGTGCGGAGATAACTAATACAACGGGAGCTAGACTATGGGCTAGGCATGGGTGCTTGTGTGATCTCTGCGTTCGTTGTTCCTTCGTTGTTTTCCTAGTGGACACACTGCTTGCTAGTTCACGGGTCAATTTGGCAAGAGTTTCACAAAAAAAAGTTGACAACAATGGTACAATCAGGTTGGCAAGACAAGACCACATCAGAGCTAGCATTCAGGTCGGTCGACTGCCATTGTAGCATGGTCGACCGCGTTCCAGCACGACTTGGTCGACCTCGCTCCAGCAGTGCAAAGTCGACGGTGTGCCAACACTGCAGGTTGACGGCGTGCCAGCGTTGCTCCCGCAGAACAGTAGCGCACCTACTTCGCATGTGCTCGCAGATGATTGGCGGGCTAAGCCTCGTCACCTGCACAACGCACAAACCAGGTCATCCTCATGCCGACAACTCCACGTGATCCGCCACGTCGACATCGGGATACCACCACCGAGGTCGGTCTCGCCAACATCGCCTGGGCGACCATCACACTCTTCCGCAGAACCTCGTCACCCAGGTAATCTGGTCGGCCGGGAAACCACGTCGACTAGATGCTCCTGTACGTGCCCCTCGACCTCCCAAGTCAACGACCACCTCCAGTCGACCTCACCAGGTTGACCACACCCTTGGTCGACCAGCTCCAGGTCGACGTCACTCCTGGTCGACCAACCACGTCGACCAGCACTCCTGGTCTACCAGCTCCACGTCGACCAGCACCGTTATCATCCGTCCACCCAAGTCGGCTACCCGAAGTCGGTGTCACCAAGTTGACGCCCTGCTACTCGACGCCCACCTGCTCGGCGTCCTGAATTTCTCTGTCGAGGTCAACATCGGCCCCTCCTTCATCGACCATCATGCTCGGTCGACCACCAGGTCGACATCATGCCTGGTCGACCAACCATCACGTCGACCAGCAGGCCTGGTCGACCAACCATCACGTCGACCAGCAGTCTTGTCAGCCGACCACCCAAGTCGACTGCCCCAAGTTGGCGTCACCAATTCCACGCCCTCCGCAAATCGACTTCCTAGGTCGACCTCCCTGAAGTCGGCGCCATCCTAAATTCGGTGCCCATGAAGTGGCCCCTGTGCAGATCGACCCCCCCGTCGACTAGCTCGCCCACTGCTGCAGGTCGGATGCTCCCCTCACACCCGACCGCGAAGTCGGCTCCGCCCAAGCAAGGACGAGGCCAAACCCAACTCCCGTTGACACTTGGTACACTGCGGGTGCTATTGGTTGAAAGAAACGGAATAAGAAAATACAATCATGACACTAAATTGCTGACAGTAACATGACTGGCTATCCTTACACAGACTAGACTAGTGTTGAGTACGGACGCGTATTTACCAATCCAAATCAGCTGCGAATGATCTCAAAGCCGGCTAGTGTCACCCACATACATTGTAGAGGCTATTGGTAAAACGGGATTAAAAGATACATGTACAGATTTGACCTGTATTGCACTTGTTCACCTATCCAAACCAGCTGCGAATAATCTAAAAACCGGATAGTCTCACCCACATACATGGTCAAAAGAAACGGGTTAAGAAAATACAATCAGGACACTAAACTGTTGAGTTCGACATCACTCGCTATCCTTCTGCAGAATTGACCCGTGTTGCGCACGGGCGTTTGTTTACCTATCCAAATCAGCTGCGAATGATCTCAAAGTTAGGTACTACTGCCTATATATATTGTATAGGCTATTGGTAAAAAGAAACGGGAGTTAATAATACAAAGAGGGCAGTAAATGTCAGAATCCAAACCACTAGACCATTGGGATAAAAAGGCTTGTTTCAGTAGCAGGTCAGTTCGCCCATAACCCCCCAGGCAAACGCGCCTGTAACCCCCCTTGGATCGATCGGGGATCTCACAGTGTAGCTCTACTAACAGTAACTTGCAAACAGTGCCATGGCTGGTTATCCTTGCCAGAACATTATAGCTTATGCTTTTGTGTAGGCTGTAGTGGGGTAGCCCATATGGGGTACAACCCAATTAGGGTTAGTACTTGTACCCAACTGTTTCATAGTTCATTCATTCTCGTTTCAATTCTCACAATCCTTGTGCAAACTTGACCCATGTTGCGCATGGTTGATTGTTTACCTATCCAAATCCATTGCGAATGATCTCAAAGTCAGATAGTCGCACCAAGATACAACGTAAAAGCTATCAGTAAAAAGAAACCGTAGTTTAACGTACAAACAGGGAAATTTACCTGCTGACAGTGAAGTGACTGCATATAAATGCTTAAATTCGACTTGTGTTTCGCTCGAACGCTTGTGTACCTATCCAATCAATTGCGAATGATCTCAAATCCGGGGAGTCAAACCTAGATACATAGTTGGTGATACTGTTCTAAAGCAACGGAGTAAAAAATACAAGCAGGGTATTGACCTGCCGATTTTGACATCACTTGCAGTTTTTTAACAGATTTGACCCTTCACCACTCGGGTACATATCCAAATCACCTGCGAATGCTGCGTATAGAGTATCAAAAGCTTGTTTAGAAGAATCATGTACGTTGCTAGACTGCTGTCGACAACAGCAGTCCAATTTGCATAACAAATAATATTATTCAAAATAACTACTGAGACGGTAGGTTCAGATTGTGTTAATGGTAATGCTAAACCAGTGGAATTAAAATGCAAAATTAAATAAAGTTGCAAAATCAGACGTCTAATATAACCAGGTATAGAATTCTCTAGTCAGCATAATGTTTTCGTTTCCACAGTAAAGGTTTCTAGAGAGTGTAGAAATATTACGTTTTATTCAGAAGCCAAAACATCAATTTTGTTCGGGACCTTGACCAATGGGACATGGCAGCCTTGTTCAAGGCCTCCTTGAAAAGTGCCGAAGCTGTGATGTACCGCCGAAGCTGCCACCCTAAATGCTCGACCACACAGGTGATTTCCGAAGTTGCTAAGCTGGCTGCCCAAGCCCTTACAAGTGTTCCGAAGGTACTTGGGCTGATTCCGTCTCGACGTGACGGGTCGAAAGAAGGTTTTCCCACTCAGTTCAACTTGTTACGTCGGACATACTCTCGGAAACCATACTTTTCGGTGGACCCCATTTTTAGGATGGCGTTCGCGCTGTAGTCGGTGTTGCTGCTGATGCATCTGCTGCTGCTGCTGTTACCGCGGATGCTGACGCCGATGCTATTTCTAACGCCGATGCTGGTGCATATCGTGACTCCACGGCAAAGCAGCACCACGGGAGCCAGGGTGCTGGCGTTGGCACCGCTGTCGCTGGTGGTGATACCGCAGCAGTGACTGCTGGCGCTGGTGATGGCGGTACGGGGCTGACCCTCACACGACTGTTGCAGCAGATGAAGCACGTCAAACGATAGGCGGGTGCGAGTGGTGGCGATGAAGGTGCCAGGAATGCGTCAACCACCGGCACCAACACGCAGCGAGTTTCGGCACCGCCGTGTGACGTCGGGTCTGACCCTGGACGCATGTGACGTCAGTGGCGCAGCTTTGGAGCATCGGTGTTCCCCCTTGGATTCTGCTCAGAGCATCAGCAACAATCACGTCATCCCAAAAATGAGGGCCCCCAAAAATTAGGGTTTCGTAAAGTATGTTTGAAGTAACACGGCCATGTG